TGTATCCTACATCATGGAGGCTGAATTGAATTAGGAGTGTTTGAGTAGGCCAGTCACCAAACTGTGCTGGACTAAAACCCTCCCATCTCCATTCTTCATTTTACTTGTATTGTGTTTCTTTCCCTGACGTCTACTTATAAGATTTGTGTGGGTTTATGTTCCAAAACTTCCATGATTCATTTTCACCTGGCCCTTTTCCAGCTTCTCTTTGTCCCTTAAAATTAAACAGGCTGTTTTTGTTACTATGTTTTTAAGTCTGATATATGAAAACGACTGTCGGCTGCCGTGTTTTGCCTCATTCAAAAAGCAGTCCAGGCTGAAACACTCCTTATAACTTCAGTGTGGATGGGCGGAGATAAACCGCTGCAGGCAGAATGTGTATGTATACATAAATACATTGTTTTTGTGGCATCACAAAAAAGATAAATTTGTACTAGGCTTGTGTTTTGCAGCTTAGTCTCCATATATGGAATGGTACATTTTAAATTGAAACAGTGTTATACTACATCAAACTTTTATATCAGGAAAGTGAGAAAAACTTGCTATTCTATGATATGGACCCTGTAGTGTCTTTGGTGTAGAGATTTTGTTAATATTTTCTAAGGCTTGCCATTACGCATGCAAACAGTTATACAGCGTGATTCAAAAAGATTAATCTGATTTCAAAATGATTTATTTCACTTGTAATGAAATAAATCAATGTAGTAAATTGTAAATGGTTTATGTGAGCATAAAGTTTATTATGTAATTTTACAAGTGCTCAGTTTGAACCTCCTCCAGCTGTACGGACAACATCAACGCCATAGTCAAATTCATCTCATACTTGATTGAGCATGTCGGGTGTCACTGTACTCAAGGCTCTTTCAATGTGATTTCGGAGATCATCCAGTGTCGTGGAACCAACGATGAATGCTCTGAGCTGTTGGAAGTTCACTGCCGACGAAAATCACGTTGCACAGTTATGACGGACTCACTCTTATTGAAGTGGACAATGCAAAGCGCTTTCTGCTCAGGGGTCGCCATCTCCTCACAGACTGAAGGAGCCATCCTCCGGTGACAGTCAGAAACTCTATGACCACCTCTTTCAATTGGGATGTATTGGTTCCTAGGCGCCTCATGGTTGTAAAAATATGGCACTTTGAAATCGGATGAATCTTTTTGAATCACCCTGCATATAATGAATTGATATGTAATGCCCATCAGTCAGTGGCATAACTATCAGTAGTGCAGGTGTGGCAATAGCACAGGGGATGGGGCTTTATTAAACCCTTTATATCACTACTTACACACATATATATGCATGACTCATGGGTAAATACGATAACTTGAAGATATAGCCTACATTAAAGCACCAGACTGGTTGAAACACAGCACTAGTAAGTAAAAAAGCAGAATGCATCGTTTTGTTATTCACTGAAGGTGTTTTTTGTATGGCAGGTCCCATAGGATCTTTGTTGGCACCTGCTCCGCTCTAATACAGCAAACAATGGATTGAAACAGCTTCTAACTTTTACAAAAAAGGTGACTCAATGTGTGTCATGCATTGACCCTGAGACAAAACTGCATCTGTCGTTCATCATCGGCTCTGCTGAAAGTCAGCAGGTTACGTGTGTAGAGGTCTGATCCAGCTGGTGTGATTATTGCAGAGCAGAATGGGAAAGTTTCTGTAATCTTGCGGTGATGTGGTGGTGTCTCTGTGTCGTTGTGTTAATCCGTCTGTGAACCACGGGCGGTTTGGCAGCCGGGCCGTGACAGAGAAACGCTTATTTTAACATTTGAAAATTCCAGACACAAACTATAGACTTCTCGCCTGCGACGTGAACCAGAGTGGAGAAAACATTTCAAAAACATGTCTCTTTTTTTCTCTTCATTCCCACAGCTTCTAATGTAACATGTCTTGACACATCCAAATCTCAGTCTTTCCAGGAGACAACCTAAGATTAGCATGTCTGATGAAGTTTTTCCCCTTTGTGATGTTTTTATGTCTGCAACTGCCTTACAGGTAATGTACGGTACATAATATACAGGGCATTCCACTTGATTATGTAAGTTATGTGTAGGGATAAAAGAATGCACATGCAGTAAGTCATCTTCCATCATTGTTAGGGAGATAGACTCGTTTATAGTTGCCTAAAGGTGTCATACCATGACTTTGGATGCACAGCATAGATGCTTTAACTCTAATAACCACTTAGCAAGAGTTTGATTTAAAGAGCTTCAAGTTTAATGGCAAATCATTATAATGTCTCTCTGGAATGCCCCACTGTCTGACACCAATGCCCTGTAATATACAGCTTCATACAATAAACAGTGTTACACAACTCAAGCCTGCATATGGAAGCAAACAGAATATCTCAAATGTATAAAAATAGAATGCTATGATGATAAATTTGTTGGCTGCTTATCAGTACCAGCACTGTGTCAGTAAGCTCAAAAAAGTACTGATATTTTACAGTAAACAATTTTATCAAAATTAATTTCAAGGCAAATTTGTAGTTTATATGATTCACCTAAATAATTTCTAAAACGGTTCACTGCTGCACAGCCACATAAAAATCTAAAATAAAAAAAAAGTTAGGACTAAAATACATTTGAAAAGTTGGTTTACATCCTTGTATACTTTGTATGTTACACATAAGTGTATTGTGTGTATAAAACTGAAGATGTGTTCCAGCATAAGAATCTCATCTTAACTTTTAAACATGGTGGTGGCAGTATCATGATTTGAGGCTGTTTTTACTGCTGTTGGACGAGGACAGCTTGCCATCCTTTGATGGAGCTGTAAATTCTGGATTGCATTAAGAAATTCTACAGAAGAATATTAGGCCATCCGTTCTTGAACTAAGCCTCAACAGAAGGTGGGTTCTGCATTAGGACAACTATCTTAAACCATCAGTTAATCTGCAAAAAGTGGATGAAGCACAAGAAATGTTACATTTTGGCATGGCTGAGTCAAAGTCCAGACCTTAATCAAATAGAAATGTTGTGGCAGGACCTAAGACATGGTGCTTATGCAAAAAAGCCCACCAGCATAACACAGTTAAAGCACATTGAAGAGGAGGAATGGGCCAAGATTCCTCCCAGTTAATGTGCAGGGCTGATCATCAGTTACAGGAATCGTTTGGTTGAAGTCATTGCTGCTCAGGGGGGGGGTCACACCAGTTACTGAAAGCAGAGATGCACATATTCTTTTGCGAAAAAAGACATTTAATGTTGGATCACTTTTTTATTAAATGAATCATAAAGCATTTAATTCTTTCTGTTATTGTTTTATTGGGTTCTCTTTACTGATATGGCTACAATGAAGAGCTGATCATATTTTAGGTCACATTTAATAGAAATTCAATTTAAGGTAGAGAGTTCACAAACTTTTAAGCAGCACTGTATGTGTATTGTGCATGCACTGCCACATATATGTATTGTGCACACACTGACACACGTATATATATTGTGCACACATTGACACACACATACGTTCTATGCATACATTGACACACATATATATATTGTGCATGCACTGATGTGTATACATTTTATGCATACAATGACAACATATGTATATGTATTGTGCATGCATTAACACATTTATACATATTGTGCATGCACCAACACGTAAACATATTGTGGACACACCAACACACGGATGCATTGCACATACACACATATACGTATTTTACATACATTGACATATACGCTTATTTTGCACACACTGATACACATTTCTGCATTGTGTACGCACTAACACCTTTATATTGTGCAAGCACTGACACGCGAAATGCATTGCACATGCACTGACACACGTATACATATTGTGCATACCCTTACACAATACATACACATACGCAAGACATGTATATGCGTTAATCCGTGCACAATACATATATGTGCTGAAACATGACACATCTATGTATTGAGCACTCACTGGCACGTGTATGCATTGCTTATGCACTGACACATATGCATTGAGCTCTTGCTGATACATACATGTTGTGAACATATTTATTACGCACAAACTAACATACATACGTATTGTGCCTGCATTGATTCACATATATGTATTGTGGACACACCGATACATGTGTAGTCACTATGGTCGGGCATTTTCATTCTTCTCACACTTACTGAAATGAGCATTGTAGATCCACCAACCAACATGGCAGACTAGAGGTTCGATTAATCACCTAAGCATTCTGAAAAATGTCGGTTTTATGTCTAATATGTGTGTGGTAACGATTGGTATTGGTGTTAATTATTTGCTACAGGGCATCCCTACTAATTAGTGCCCTTAGGTAAGACATTGTTCCTGACTGGAATTTTAAGATATAAATAGACTTGTGTATTTACAGAAGATAAGACATTTCTCACCAGTTCCCATTCTGACAAACATGATGATGAGTCACGTCTTTGTTTACATTTTTCTTTCATTCTTGCTCAACGCCATGAGTCACAATTAGTCTAGCAGGACAAGCTACAGAATTTCAGCAACAGCTGAATGCACCCTTTATTTCACTGATTCTTTGTAATTTTCTCTGGCATTGTCTTTGTCTGTGGTTAGGCCATGTTAAGTCTAAGTTATCACATGCCGAACACTTTATAAGCAGCCTATACAATTAACAAATTATAAAGCCATTTAACAATCTACAGAAGAGGGAGAAGGGAGAAGAGAGATGAGAAGAGCATGGGTGAAGGATATAAATGCTAACTGGAGTTATATAATGTCATGGCACTATACGTGCACTAGAGGTACTATTACTGCTACCAAATGTGGTGTTTCACAAACTGTCTGAAAATGCCTTTCCTGCCTGAAAAACAATCCCAGGACGTGTTTCTGTTTTTTTCTGGCTTGTCATGCCTGGTGCTGAATGTTTGCATTGACTGGCCACAGAACCCACAGGAAGTGTGGGAGTAGAAAGGTGGGACAACAGTGGTAAATGTCATGACATCACAGGCCGCGCTGCCATTGGTCGGCTCCTCGGGCAACAGGGTTTAAAAGCCAACCAACTTAAAGCATCGAAACATAGCAAGAACTCATCCGATAAACTTGGAGAGTACTGATCTAATCCACCGTCCTCACAAGTGTCAAGAGTGTTGGATTCGCACCGGCGGAGGCACAGGTAAGCAATGACTTTTATATCCTCTTTCTAGCCTGTGTTACAAAGAAACTGCTAGTTAGGTTCATCAAATCAAGCCTTAAGGAACTGCATTTTAAACTATTTCATATAGCAGGTACTTTATATCTATAAGGATGCACATTTCCTACAGAACACCCCAAACAAGGGTCATTTTAGAAGTGTACATTATAAGCTGTTGCATATGGCATATATTTAAGCATAACCAATGTACCAGATGTGCAAAACAGCTTTGGAAACAAACGGCAGAATTCTTTGCATATAGAACAGCTGAACCAGATTCTAATAATAGAGTAACTGTAGAAACATTAAAACAACTGAAATATCTGAATGATTTAAAGCACAGTATTGTTTTGTCAGCAGAGTCAAAATATAACAGAATGAAGAAGAAGTTGTGGTTTTGGCCTATAAATCCTTCACTAATTTGTCAGCTGACTCATTTATTCCAGCAACAAAACCACCAAATTAAAGTCATGCATAAGAATAATAATAATAACAGTATGCTGACAGTCAGTTTAATTACATCAGGCCGCCTCTGCAACATCCTTTCCACCCTTTAGTGCCTCACTTTTCTTTCAACTACACAAATCTTAGGGCTTGTTTTGCTATGATGGAGTCCCTAATGAGAAACTGAGACCGTTTTCAAAATATAACTTAAGGTTTCTAGTTCTGGAGATTGTGGCCACCAGCCGTCTACATATAACTCTGCGAATTATATGCTGGAAAGAGATCATTATAGGTGTAGCTAAACACTCGCAAGCTCAGCTTATACTTTAGGTGATGTTATCGTAGCTGGAATGAAAAACATGGTCGATGTTTCATGGCGAAAGCTGGTTGCAGTTAGCAGGGAAGTCCTGGATCGTCTGCCAAGAACGTAGTGGCCTACTCTATACGGGCATGCTTCCGGAGCACTGCGGAAAAGCACAAACCCAAAGGGCCCAGTCCAAGCTCATTAAGCTGGTTTATAGTTTGACCATTATGAGGTCTAAGTGAAGGCGATGCTCTCAATAAACACGTTGACATTAACTATGCACTGAAACGTCATTCTCTTATTCACTGAGGGGTTCTTGCTTTTCCTTTAGCAATCGCAACTCAGCATTATGTTATTTGGAATGATTTTATAGTAGATTATGTACAATCAGAAGATGATCGCTTCTTTTTTTCCTCAGAAAACATCTGAAGAAAATGAAGGCCGTCATCATTTTCGGGCTCCTCTTCGCTGTAGTCTACTGCCATCCTGTAAGTTCTGAGCAAAAGCTTGAATCAGCAATGTCTACAAATGGTACTGATAGCTGTCTAGACTTTGACAGTGCATGCAGAGGCTTTCCAATAGCAATAATGCTCCAACACGATTGAAATATGCAATACTGTACTCTCAAACATACAAGGCTCCTAAACAGTTCTACACCCTTAAAAAGAAAGATGCCAACGAGGGTTCTAATGCCATAGTAGCACCAGTTCTGCTTCCCAATGGATGGCTCTTAAGGGAACAAACTCTTTAAATGAGATGTGTGGGTGTAAAGAACATTTACAAAGTTTAAAACTCCTAAAGCTCATGGCACCTTCTCTTTTTAAGACTGTAGGAGAAAACTTAAATTAGTATAAAACTTTTACATTATGTGGAGGATCTCTAAACTTTAAAAAAGTACTTTGTACTCAGACGTCTCATTTACTTCAATGTTTCACTGAAGAACCATCCATTAAAAGTTATTTAGGCAAGAAAAAGTGGTTCTTCTCTGAAACCCTTTTGTGGCACCTTTTTTTTAAGAATGTAGGAGAAACTTTAACTGGTTTTAAACCTTTCAGTTGTAAACAGATACTTTACATTTTCACTTACCTTTTAAAACCAGGCACTACAAGGTTCTTCAGGGAAACCAAAAGGGGTTCTTCTTTGATATGTGCCCTGGTGTTAATTCAGAAACCTCAGCTAAAACTTCTTTAATGTATGTATTAGATTATAGTGATTTGTTTATGGTAGTTTATAGCACTTTCTGAACAATCAGTGTTAAGTTTCATAACTGAATAATAAGCCTTAGGATTCAAAGGATTAAGGAACGGAGATAAAGATGCATCCTCCTGTCTGATGATGCTTTTTTTGCAGGTAAAACGCTCAGCAAGCAGCTCAGAGAGCTCTGAGGAGCAGGCAGTTGCCCAACCGGTGAGTGTTTCTCTAGCACCTAAGATGCCATTCTGTCGAAGTAAAAAATGCAGTAAATCTAATGATATGCCATAAATCTCGCAAACAGCCTCTCCAAGTTCTGGATAAAGGCCCTGCAAATCCACCAGAGGCAGTACCTGCACAGGTAAAAGCCTTGTTTTAATCTCTCATGGCTATTTTTCTATAATTTAACAGTATTCAAATTAATGCGTGAAGCATTTCAAGTAAGGCATGATAATTGCTGCTCTTTGCTTATGCTTCAGTGGGTGTTTCTCTTTGCTGTTTGTGTCAGGACTTGAAAGCGGCCGCAGTAGCAGCAGTAGCATCTGACGAGGACACTGACGATTCAGATGAAGCTGAGGTAAAAGGCAACTTATCCTCCTGACCACATGAGTCACCACTGCATTCACTTATTTCCTAATAAAAGCTTCCCAGCTCCAAAAATAAGGCTCTTTTTGTCTGGATGCACTGTGGGTGTATGTGTCAGTAACTCTCCCTGTCTTGTGACTGTTTCCTTCATTTCCAGGACAAAAACACAGAATCAGACACGGAGGGCGACAGTGCAGACAGCGCAGACACGCAAGACACTGTGAGTCAAGCTTTACCGCATATGCTGTTATAACACTCTCACACGCAGATGTAACTAAGGATGTACCGATTCACTTTTCTCTCTCAATACCGATCCTGATATCTGTACTCTGGATGCGGATTAATGATCTGATACTAGTGCTCTGTTAGGGCACTTGTGTTGTAAATACTGTTAAAGTTTCAAAACTTACCACTTACCACTTAGTCCATACAGTCCATATATGGAAACTAAGCTGCAAAAAAGACCGTCTTGAATGAATGTTTTTTTTGATGTCATGTAAACCAACTCATTTACATATGTCCACCTTTTCAGCCTACAGTTTAGCTCTGGCCAATTAAGTTCCAAGGAGTGTTTCAGGTTTGAGTGCTTTTTGAATGAAGTACAATACAAGGCAGCCAATCAGAAAAGATCTCATTTACATACATCAGTTTTAAAGGTATAATAAATAATAAGCCAGTTTACCTTGAAGGGATAAAAAGGAAGTTGGAAAATGATCATCTACAAAGGAATTGTGATTTTTGGTACGTCAGTCCACCCAAATATTGTAAGTGGACTTTAAGACAAAAAAATAAATACAGGAAAATGTAGGCTATGGGCCCTTTAAAGAACACTGGTCAACTGGATGTTTCATTACAAAGAGAGCACAATTTGTCCTGTTTAATTGGATTTAGTGCATTGTAGCACATAGTACACTGAATAAAAAGCACTTTTTTCTGTTCAAACTTATCAAGTAAACTAGATATGATGACACATATCATGTGCCATGAAAACATCTTCATGAATGTGATATTATGTATTTGTCACCCCTACAATACAAAGTTTACAAGATTGCACTGTTAGAATTTTACAATGAATACAACTAAGAAACAGTATCGAATGTGGAAAAGTCAAATCTGACTGATATCCAGCTTTTTATTAAGTATTTTTATTGAGTATTAGAGATGGCACAATACTACTTCTTTTTTTCCACTACTGATATCTGTACTAAAACCTTCAGTATTGGCCAGTACCAATACTGATCTAATATTTCTTCTTAGAAACTGCTAAGCTTTAAAATAAGCCATTTTAATTTATTTATTAAGCTATTTTTATGCTCACTTAAGATGACTGTTATTTCAAGATAATCATAAGTATAATCATAAGTATAATAAACATATTGTCTCTGACATAAGAAAACCTTGTATACAAAAAAAAGAAAAGCTATTCTTAATCTGTTAATGTCACTAAAATGTCTATCAGTCCATTTATAATGAAATGCTCACTCAATGAAAAGGGGCAACTGGCACCGGTGTAAAAAAAGTGGAATAAAGTGGTGTAAAAACACAAGAAACTAAAAAAATTATATTATAAGAGTTTTTTGAGACAGTATTGAAGCAAAGGCTCAGATGATCCTCATATTCTGTGCTGTTTTTGTTCAGGACACAGATGACTCCAGTGAGAGTGCTGAATCAGGAGAGACTGAGGCCACTACCGTCCCACCTGTAACCGTGGAGCCCACCCTGAACCCTGTTATTGACAATGGCCGTGGAGACAGCATGGGCTACCCCAGCGACTACAAGAAGACAATCATCTACATGGATGCCAATGACGTTGAGAAAATTCCTTCTTCCTACAAGTCCTATGGACCTGACAAGACTGAGGACCTGAACAACATCAGCGTGAAGACATCTCATTTTGATGGCCAGGAAGCTAATGATGTGGAGAAGCATCTGAAGGTGTACAAGGTAAACAAGCACCTCTGGTTGTATTAATAAGTGACCTTAGGACTTTTTTTAGGTGTGAGCAGATCTCAGATCTGTTCATCTGAGAACAGGTTTACATGACCGTATGGTTGTCAAATTAAACATGCTAGCAAGCATAAACATCTGACTTCACAAAGATTCAAAATAACTTTCATTCTTCAGAAAATAATTAGATGAATCCTAATTAGATGAAACCTCAGATTTCACAACAATTCAACAACAAATTTTGGAAGATTTTTTTAAAAATACATGTACAACTGCTTATTCACCCTTTGAGCCTGAAGACTGCTGGTCATACAGCAATGTAGACAATAATCTCGCTTAGCTAGTAACTAAAGAAAAGGCAGAGAGAAATATTTGAGACAAGCATTGATAATTTGGAGACTAATGGACTTTTCATTTATAAGCAGTCCAGCTGGTTTTCTGATACATTTAATCTGCAACGAGAAACTGTCAAACAGTCTTGAAGCTGAAGTCAGCTTCTTGCTCGCTAGCTTCTTGTTTAAATTTTCTCGTTCCACCTGAAACGGTGCAACAGTTAGCTACATAGTTAGCTACATTCTGCTGCCTCAGGCACCATTTAAGATGGAACAGGAAAATTCTAACAAGAAGCTGGTGAATAAGCTGACTTCAGCCTCGTAAAAAGTCAAAAGTTGAGAGACATTTTACAAGAAACTATTCCACATTTGATGAAAAGTTTCCTGCTGGAGATGCGAGAAAAGTAACTATAGCTGAGCTAAAGCTTAAAGCAGAGCAAAGTAAATCTGCATTTTTTGGCCTATACTAGAACATTAGCACATATTAAGACATGTTTACAGCCAAGATGGTAAAACGTTACTTCAATAAAATGGACATGAAATGTTGTGGCTCCTAAGGTGGTTAGATTTTTGTTGAAACTTGACAAAATGGCACTTCTAAACATTTGGGCTGCTGACCCCTGGCCTACACAGATGGGGTGGTCTCCAAAAAAATCTTGCTTAGGGCCTTCAAAACACCAGAGCTGGCCTTGCATGTATGCGTATATTTTTACAGCCAGTAAGCAGTGATCTAAGCTGAGCTGTTTTCTGTTGGGTTCTCAGGCTCTGCAGGTGCACAATGAAGTCCTGGAGGAGGATACCAGCACTCCAGAGGAGGACGAGGTGCCCAGTGCAAAGCAGGCATCCCTGGGTAGTGAGGGGAGTGCTCCTGCTGAGGAGGAGATTGAGGGTGCCAGTGCCAGCGATGCCAGCGGTGAGAGCGCAAGTGCTAGTGCCAGCCAGGAGCAGAAAGAAGAGGCCAACAGCAGCAAGAGCAGCGAGGAGGCCACTGCTACCCCCGGGACTGCAGGCGCAGACAACGACTCTTCTCAGAGCTCTGAGAGCCAAGAGGACGACTCCGCTGAGCAGGCTGTGGAAGCCACGACTGATGTCCCTGATGTCATTATCGCTAAATAAACGCACCACGAAGCACAAGACCCCAAAAACTGCTGTCCCCAGTGAAGAATGCAACCGTATCCAGAGTGGTGCTAATAAGTGACTCACTTCACTGTGCATGAGAGAGAAAAAGGGAAAATAGCACAGCGCAATAATACAATTCAGACAAGCCTGGTCCAGGGCTGTGGCTGCATTAGGCTACCTGTAAGAAAGCAGTTTCATCTCAACAAAACAACATTTTGCACATGTATTTACATTATGTTTATGTAAAATATTTTATTCTACCATGTATCATGATTTATCCTTAATGAATAAATTCTTTTTTTTTTCAAAAAACAATAAATGATCTCTGTTGTTGCATATTGCCATTACTTATGTTCATGCAGAGAATTGGAATTTCATACTGAGGCCTATATTAGTAGTCATCATGAAAAAAGTCTGCAGGATGAAACAGATGGAGCTGGAATCAGTGAATACTTCACCAGATGAAGGCTTGACTGCATCCTCTCAAAGGGCCACAGCGTGGCAACATAACTCAGCATAGTCCAAGTCCAACCTTACACTTAGCTCCAGCCTCAAAACTTAACTTTTGTTTTAAATTACAAGTCTGCACTGCAGACATTTGTCAAAGTCAGTAAATTGTCTTTGTATAGTCTGATATTCAAAGTAGGAGTTATCGCATCAGCCTGGCCCACTCTGTCTTGAAGAAAAGCAGACAGAAGTCTATTTCAGCTGTGATCCCTAAGGAGTGCTGCTAAGCCTGTAATTAACAGAGGGAGAAGACAGACAACAAGTTTCAACCATTCCAGCTTGCAGAACACTGTCAAACTGCTGCAGTACTCACATCAATTAGTAGAGTTCCAGCAATCTGTTAAATGTGCTCTAGGTGGTGTGTTTTATTTCCTTACTAGTAGAAACAATAAGAAAAAGGTAGAACTTGACAAAAATATTGCTTTAGCAGTGGCATCAGCATACATATATAATGTGCCTGATAAATCCTGTTTGAAAAACTGCACTATGAACCAGGAGGCTTGTCTGTGTCAGTCATTTTCTAAGACCCTCCCCAATGTCACATTAGTCCACCCACCTCACCTGTCTGCTTGGCTAAGAAAACATAATAGAATCTGGTTATCGAACTGCCAAAAAACTTTAAAACAAGAAATGTGCTAAAACAATAATCAACATTGGAAGTGCGTTTTCCAAGATGGAGAGGATTATAACATGAAGACAATGAATTTAGATGCAGAATTAGCAATATTCCTCCTGGACAGGTATGTAAATGTGGTACAGATAATGTATGTTGAGCTGTTTGAATAGCTCACTTTATGTAATGAATTAAATAAATGAATCTAATGGTAAAGCAATGGTAAAGTATTGGACGCCTGCTAAAGTAATGTGAAGTAGAGCCACCTTCATGGAAATGGCTCTGGCCAAATGCCACTGCTATACACAGAAGGATTTGAGAGAGAGGATACCATGATTAGTTGACAACCCTATTGAAAAAACATAGAAACCATTAACTGTTTCATTAGTTTCCTGATGGTTTTGTAATGTGTTGTGGCTTTTGTTGAAGGATTGATATTGCAATGTGAAAAACCCTATATGTGTGTGTGTGTGTGTGTGTGTGTGTGTGTATATATATATATATATATATATATATGTATATAAATCATACGTGTGTGTGTGTGTATGTGTGTGTGTGTATGTGTATATATGTATATATATATATCTTTATATATGTGTATGTGTGTGTGTGTGTATGTGTATATATATATATATATATATATATATATATATATATATACATAAAATATGTGTAGTACTTGGGGAGCAGTATTGTAGCCCTCTCTTGATGCTTATATATCTTTTAGCTGGGACCCTAAAAGTAAACACAACTACCATGAGCCACCATGAGATAAATTAGCCAATAGTCATGGTGGTCACTGTTATTAAAATCTTGTGAAATAGTTGTTTTAGCTATGAAAAGGACCGCACTCACAGTGCTCCGCTGAGATGAAGGCTATATTGAATATTTTGATCTCCTCTCAAGCAGCGTTAGCATAATGCCATATTTTTATCATCTACATCTAAATAACGAAGAAAGGCAATACCCTCAATAGACAACCTACCTCATCGCTAGAAAGTGAAGTCATGGAAATGCTAGTAGCCTCCAAGTGGACTCTGAACTTCTAGGGTTGGTTGTAGTTGTTGTAGTTGACCTACTTAACTGCTAGACATTGAATACCTTGAATCTTGATTAATACACCTGTATGTACCACAGTCAGTTTTCATCTTAACAGCTTGAAAGATTCTGATGGGACACAACACTTGAGCTTCTTTTGACCTTCTCCACAGCTTTTGTTAATAAAAGGCTGTTGATGAATGTTTTGAGGATTTTATTCTGACTTATTGTGACATTGTACAAAAGTGCATTGTATATCTCTGAGGATGTGCTACTGCGGAGTGCAGTACACAGTAGCATGCATATATTCCATTTAGCTTCTGCAAAAACAGGCTTCAGTGACAATACATGTGCAAGAGAAACATATTAAGCCAAAGAAAAACATAAAACAACATTTAAAAAGTGCCTGAACAGTGCATTTGTAAAGCTTAGCAAAAAAAAAGATCATAAAAAATTTATTGAGATCAGTGCATTTCTGAAGCAAATCTAAACATTCATGTGAACTTCTTAACCCTTTAAGGAACCACAGTAGTGCTTTAGTTATCTCCTCTGGGCTCAGTTGTTGTATGCAGGACAGTGAAACAGGTGATATCTCCAGATGTGGTGACCGTTTTCTCTGTGGCCTGGCTGATGATGATGTCTGGTCCAGGTGTGGTGACCGTTTTCTCTGTGGCCTGGCTGATGATGATGTCTGGTCCAGGTGTGGTGACTGTTTCCTCTGTGGTCTGGCTGATGATGATGTCTGGTCCAGGTGTGGTGATCGTTTCCTCTGTGGTCTGGCTGGTGATGATGTCTGGTCTGGGAGTGGTGAGAACATTCTCCTCAGAGGATGAAGATTCTCTTGATTCAGAAGAACTGGACGAAAACCCACTGGATTCAATGGATTCTAAAGGCTCAGTTGACTCCGATGACAGTGAGCGATCCTCATCTGACACGTCACTCGATTCATCAGATTCAACTGAGTCAGATGCCTGAAAGTCTCTGCTGATATGGTGTTTCTGATTCCATGAATGACACTATAAAAGCAAATTGACATTTTTATTAGTAATATTATCCACAGTATTGTTCATTAACTACTAGCAGTGTGGCGATACAAGTATTTTCAATTCTGAGGTCAAGATATGATTCAATTTTTGGATTTTCATTGTGTTAAAAATACCCTGATTCTATGGAGCTCTAATTGTATCCTTCACAGATGAGTTAAGAATCTCAAATAGAAAGTTTAAAGCCTTCCACACTGGTCCTCTAACAACATAAACCCCAAAAATTGAGACACTGTAAACATTTTTAAGAATTTATTTATTTCCCTCACGCTTTGGCTGATCTATGTAAATGACCTCTGTTCTGATCGGCTGCCCTGTATTATGACTCATTCAAAAAGCAGTCCAGGCTGAAACACTCCTTATGAATGGGCATGAATGGGCATGAATGGGTGGGGCTAAACCGCTGTAGGCTGAATAGGTGGAAATATGTAAATGTGTTATTTTTTGTGACATCACAAAAGCAGGCTGTTTTTGCAGCCTATTCTCCATTCTGTATGGCCTGGGTAGTGAACTGAATGTGTTTACATACAATAAACTCATTAAAACAAGGAAAGTCCGTTTTTCATGATATTGGTTCTTTAAAAAAAATCCAGAATAAGAATAAGTCCTGGCCCTCCTTTCTCCCTGTGCTTTAGGACCAGAGAATTTCTAATGTGGTGAAATGCCACTCATTAATGTCTTTGGGGTTTGTCAGACACTAGAGGGCGCTCCTATCCAGTATTTGTGCAAAATCATAGTTTATAAAGCTCATTTTTATACAGAAAACTGCGTGCAACACGCGTGCAATAAATATTTGAACAAACCACTTTGCTCAGCTAATGGGCATATTAGCTTGTCAACCAGTCACCACTGAGCAACAGGAATGCTAAAGTCCTCACATAATGGAAAACTGTCACTTTCACATTTTTTTAAATAAAAGAGTTTGAAAATGTTAACGTTCCAAAATGTAATCACTAATCACCAATCACTGCTGAGCACATACAGTCCATATCTAGAAATTATGCTGCAAAAATAGCCAGTTTTGAAATCATTGCATTCAAACCAACACATTTACATATGTACACTTATTCAGCCTACAGAAGTTTAACCCAGTCTATTTAAAAGAAAAGTTATAAGAAGTGTTTCAGCCTGGACTGTTTTTTCAATGGGGCATAATACAAGGCAGCCAATCAGAACAGAGCTTATTTACATGCACCAGTCTTAAAGGTAAAGTAACAAAACATCCTGTTTAATTTTAAGGGATGCAGAGAGGTTGGAAAATACAATAATCATGTAATATTCAATTATGACTGTTACATGAAGCCACACAAGCATTACAAGTGTACCTCCACAAAATAAAATATAAGAAAAAAATGTAGATCTGGGCCCTTTAGGGTATGAACAGGCCCATCTACTGTAAGGTGTTTGTTTTGGAGTGAATGAACATGACTGAATGCACCAGACTGGCTTTGGTATGTCTGCTCTGGAGTCTTTAATGTCTGTTGTGCAATAAGGACTCACACATTTTACTTTACTGAATAAGTCAAACAGTAGACATTGAATACTAAATGATTACTGCAACTTACCGGTTTGGAGGAAACAGATGCTATGAATAGCATGAGCATTACTGTCTGCAATGTCCACATCCTTCCCGTTGAGAGACCTACCTGCAAAAAAAAATATAATCCTGCAGTTTATAGCATGTCAGCATTAACACAGTACAGAGTGCAGTGTCACTAATATCATGATATTATTCTAATTACATTAGAATCCCATGATTTTAGACAGAAATAGAATTGAATTACCTTGCTTCAGTGCTCTGTCCACTTACAGGAGTATCACTGTTTACAGTTGAGATCAGTGCTGCTGCAGTTAATATACTGAAGAGCTGTGAGTAAGTGGAGGGTTGGGTCAGACAAGAATCTGCCCAGACAGATGAATGAGCGATGCTGCGTAAGTGTGCGGCTTTGAGGAACATCCGGTTCCTTGTCGCTCTCCTCAGTACCCTTTCTGAATCTCTGTAATTAGTGTGTGGCAATCCAAACAGCACTTTAAATCATTCGGAACAAGGCAAACATTGTCTAGAAGAAAAGGAGCCAAAATGAGACCCGAATCTTCTTTTCATATCTGTAAAACTAAATGTAAAAACTGTGCAAACTGTACAGCTTGAGCAAAAGATACAAGCGGTGCCACCACAGCATCTGATCTGAATACGATGCTGTAAATGTGACAGCAATAGCTTGAAAGCAGATCTTGTGGTAACTGGCATTTTAGCAAGTTTTTACTGTATATTCTGGAATCAACTTCAAAGACTTTTTTTTTTCTCCTCATGCTATTGGTCTAACACATATCAGTAGCCATAAAACACAGTCCAGCCTGTTTTGAAGGAGGTTCCTGAGTTGACACACTTCTTTTTCTTCAATAATTAGAGTATATTTGAAGATATATGAAATATGCATGATTTACAAAACCATAGGTGAACTTGTTTTCTGCTTTGTAGGTGGGTAAACAGGTCAAGTGAAGGGTTTTTATTTTGTTCAAATGCTTTTTTTATTACTACAAACTTTTTTATTTCAAGAAAGCTGCAGTCATGTCTGTTTTTCTTAGAAAATGAAAAAAGACTGATTGGCATCTAACACTACTTTACTTATTTGTGCTTCCTTAAAAATACAATTCTAATCGCTAAAAGGACAATGCTGAAATGCTTGCAACCACCTGTCGTCTAAATAGGTGCTGAATTCTCTTATAAACACAGAATAAAAACAGCAAGGTTTAGCATTTCATTTGGAAATGACTCCTAAGTTTAAAATCTTTCAAACAATAAGCTAAACTGTACTATATGAATCATTCTACCAAACTGGTTCAAAGTTGGATATCGAAGCACATTTTATGCTTTTAACCTGCTTCCTTTTGCTTTTAGTGACCATGCATCTTAATAATCTTTGTTTTATTAAAGGAAATGATTGAGAGATCCATTTTGTCACTACAAAACAATCGTAACACTGCAGAAACTTTACCAGATCTGTCAGTAGTGATTGTTTCAGTAGTGACAATCTTTGTTAGCCAGTACATAACAAGCAAACACAGCTTTGGAACAGTTGTACACAAATAAAATTGTAATATTTTTCATGAAAACACAATAAAAGTTTATGTTATTGCAGAAAATATGTGTTTCAGGATTGACAATTTTAAATGTTCCACACTGATTTTCAGACTTTGGCACACATTTACTTCAAAACAGTGGAATCTAAGTGCTCACCATGTGGCCATTAGGAACAGGGATGCAGTCTCACTTCCTGCTCTAAAATGCAGGGGTACAGCTAAAATAAGACTCCGCCTGCAAACTAAAACTCTTTGTGTTTCAGTAGTGACATGAAAATGTGGGACAGCAATTGTAAATAAATTAAGATATATATATATATATATATATATATATTTTAAGCATTTTTTCACAAGTTGAAATGTACAGTTTAGGGCAGGGGTCAGTGCCATGTGGCTCTTTGACTGCCCTGTTGCGGCTCCGCAGCAGAATTAGATTTTTAGGTAAAAATAAAATAATCCTCCTTTGCAGTGAAATAAAGTTCTGCTGATCATTCAACACAGATTTAACAATAAATAATGTTAAACACTGGAGTTTTGCACACAGACTGCTGGTCACCATAGCAACAATCTCGCCTAGCTAGTAGCTAACGAAAACAACGAGAGAAAGATTTAAGACAAACATTAATAAATTGAAGACAAATGGACTTATTTGCATTTATAATCACTCCAGCTGGTTTCCTGATACGTTTAATCTGTGGTGAGAAACAGTCAAACACTAAAAAAGTTGCGAAGCTGAACTCAGCTTCTCGTTCACCAGCTTCTCGTTCATCAGCTTCTCGTTCACTAGCTTCTCGTTTGAATTTTCCCATTCTACCTTAAATAGTGCAGCAGTTACATTGTGGTGCCTCAGGCAGCATTTAAGGTGGAACTGGAAACTAAAGCTGGTGAATGGCTAGCTGACTTTAGCCATGTAAAAAATTGAGCATTGAGAGACATTTTAGAAGATTTAAAAGAAAAGAACATTCCACTTTTTCCGGAAAAGTATCCAGTCGAAGATGTGAGAAAAATGGCTGTATTTTAGCTAAAGCTGAAAGCAGAGCAACGTAAGACTGCATTTTTGTTTATATTGTATTTTTCAGCCTATTCTAGTAGCACATACTGAGAGATATCTACAGCCAAGATGGTAAAATGGACATAACATGTTGTGGCTTCCAAGGTCGTTTGATTTTTGTTGAAAGGACAAAATGGCTTTTCTTAACAATTGGGTTACCGACCCCTGGGTTAGGGTTTGGGACCAACATCTCCCAACAGAAAGTACCCTGTAATTGATGATTTTGCCTACATTTAGCTCATTACTGTCTCTGCTTTGAGTTTAAATAGATCATAACTTAATCCTTGTAAATATCTAAGATCAGAATGCATATTTATTTATTTAATTTTTTTTTACTGTGGGATTTCAATTTGAACTAATTTGGTAGAACGTTTGAAATATATGCTCTTTACCCTGCTTTTGTCATTGTAACCTGAACTGAGAAATGTGAAAACGTGAAGCCTAACCCTTCTTTTGTGTTTGGGTTTATTTCAGATGGAAATACAATGACTAAGGTGCTAGTAAATCACGAGGAAGACAATTCACCTCCACCACAGGAACACCCACAGAGCTCTACAACACTCACATTTAAAGGTGACTTATTTAATTACATGTTATGAAAATGAGTAACAGTTTCTTGACTTGAGGTGAGTGATTCAGTGACGGTGAGCTAAAGGTTGTGACTTAAGTTGGTTAACCATTGCTTATGCTGGAACGCTAAAGGTCACCTGAAGGGTCAGCTATAATCAAGTTCTCTCTATACAGAGGACCACTTGGTTATGTGTAAGAGTGTCTGTCTCTGCACAGAGTTAATTTACAGTGGTTACATGTCCAGAGGGGCACTGTACTGGGAACTGACCTATTTATGCTCCACCCACTAATGCATTCTTTTGTAGCTACTGTTGCAAGGTTGGACAAGCAGAACGTTTACAGGATGTTGGCAAAAACCTAAAGAGAAACTGTGGCACACAACTGGAAATACAAAAGTTTGAATACATTTTTTAATTTTAAATGCTGTGTGAAATGTTACACTGTTTGGATGTGTTATACTGTAGTGCGATCAGCTAACATTAGCATGATAGCAAACTTGTTATTAGCTTCGCGGTGCCAGATGCAGTCTTGTCTGTGGAGAATTTGAGAATTTTGGGGCTGAATGTGGGTGGGAACAGAGACTGATTAGAGTGGGAACAAACTAAATTAATTTCTAATTCAATCCAACACCTCGTGAAGATGTAGAGGGTGACAGTATGCAGACAACACTCTGTGGTTAGCTTCATGCTTGTAACATAAGTTAGCATGGCTGCAAAGTCCCTTTCATAGCATTTTGCTGCTGTTGGAACAAAACCACACATCTCCATTTCTGTCTATTTTCATTTTTTTTAATGTAATTTAAAAATGCCTGTTTCCCTTTACATTATGTATTAATTTCACACTGAAAGCACCAAAAGAAATGGCCCAAAATTACCTGGAAAAAGTCTTTCTCTTGGTGGCCTTATTTGAAGCAGATTTTGATGCAATCCATCACCAAAAGTTTAACAGTATGAGATCACATGTGGCTCCATGAAACTAACTTCTTATAATCATTTTCAACTTGCCTAGTTTTAAATAGCTACTATAACAATCCAGCTCAACAATGCACGTGACAGCAGTTCCTAAGAAAGACTGCATTTGAGGTCAAAGCATGGATGCGTCAGTTCAGTCCAAACAGAAGCAGTTTAATATTTCTTGGATGCCTTACTGAGTGTTGTGTGACGTCACTGGGCCATTCCTCTTTCTAGTGCAAGGGGGGGAACGTGAATAACAACAATGCACTGATCACAGGGCCGTCTTTCCACACTGATGCTGTCATCTGCGCTGGAGCAGACCTGTTTTTAGCTTTGCCCCGAGAGCCAGTTCCTAAATCATTAGCAAGAAAATTCCATTGTCGTCAGTGCTCGCCACACGTTTCGTTTCCTCCCTGGCTGAAGGTTTCAGGTTTCCTCCCAGAATTGGTCATATTATTGCTGTCATAACTTCATTCGTAACTCTGGAACTTCATTCATTTATTCATTTATTTATTTAGAATCATCTAACAAGCCAGCTACATTTTACATTCAGTGAACATTTCATTTACCTCCAGAATTTTGTTACATTTACTTACATTTTTTTTTAAAAATTAGATTAAAAGGTAAGAACACTTTTTCCTTCTCCATTACCAATGGCTGATTCTAAATACATTTGATCGTTTCCTAATGGGATCTAATGGTGATTTACAGGAAACTAGTGATTTTAATCCTAGTGTTTTCTAAAGGTCCCTTTTCAACAGGGACCATTTGGCTACCATATTGTTGCTGTGAAAAGAAAAACAAGTACAGGAAACCAGCATATACTGGTTTTTGGCCTTGTCCCTTACATACAGAGATTTTTCCAGATACTCTGAATCTTTTAATGTTATTATGTACCGTAGATGATGAAAAGCAAATTTTTTGCTATTTTACATTAAGAAACTTTATTCTTGAATTGTTGCACTATTTACTTGCTTAGTCTTTCACAGACTGGTGAACCCCTCCCCATCTTTACTTCTGAAAGACTCAGCCTCTGTGGGATGCTTTTTTATACCCAGTCATGGGCATAAATTTTTCAGAAAACAATAACATTTTTCAGTTTCAACATTTGATTTCTTTTAAAAATATGGTTTACATGATCATTGTATCCTATTTACATTCTACACAGCGTCCCAACTTTTTTGGAAATGGGGTTGTAAATATATCTATATATTTCTTATTAGACTTAGGTTACTGTCCATTTCT